TTTTTAACTTGCCAGTGTCTTATGACTTTCCAGAAATGAAGAGCATAATAAACAACTTCTCGTTGCTCACTGGAACACACGACCCACCCCGGAGCACCAAACCACCTGCTCAGAGAGCCAGGTGAGGGTCCTGATCGGACCGGACCACACAGTAACTTCCCACAGGAAAGTAGACGCCAGCCTCCCGAGCTCCAGGGAGTGCAACCCAGATAAACAGGACCTAGAATCTTTCTAGGGAGAGACCTTAGACTTTGTGGCCAAAGTCCCAGCCAGCACAGCAGGTGGAACTTGGGTCCCCTCTACTCATTCATTCAGAAAGCAGCTATGCCATGCCCCCCCCTTTTTTTTTTTTGACTGCTTCTCTGAATTGGAAGCGTTGTCATTAGCAAAGTCATGCTCCACAGTTATGGAGCAACGGGAACGGTGCAATCCCATTTCAAACTAAAAGAGAAAGAAGGCGGTTTGTTTTGAAATCGCAGGGAGGGACTCTCGGCCTGAGTTTACAAACTGCCTTCTTTTCTCCCACGATCGCTGGGACTTTGGAACTGGGTAAGCTTGGGAAAGACAGTAGACAGCTCCCCGATAATGCTAAACTCTTGAGGTTCTCTTCCTTTCTCCATGACACCCTATACCCAATTGAGGTCTTACTTCATCCTAGGGATTCCCTTTGCCTCTGTGCTAGGTTAGATTCCTTATTTTTCTGGACCAAAAGCTTTCCTCTTCCTCTGTTTATTCACTTTTATTAGGATTAATCTCTGGCGATTTCTTGAGAAATGAGGGACACCAAAGGTAATTTTTTTTAAAGTTTGCCAAACTGATAATATCTTTATTTTATTCTTAAAATTGTTCAAAGTTGGACCGAGCATAGCATTTTTAAACTAATTGCCCTATGGAGTTGAGACTGTATTCCACGCTCCCTTTCCTGTTATTGTTGGGAAGGTCAAAGCTGGCCTCCTTCCCATTATTGTCTTTTTAGCTTTTTGCTTTTAAAAGAAAGGGCCATTTTAGTGAGATCTTGGGAAGAAAAACCATTTTCAATTGGAAGTCTAAGTCCACCCGCTGCCCCGCCCCTGCGATGTGTCTTTCCTTCTTCTGCTTGTGAGGCAGGGTCCCACCATGTAGCTCAGGCTGGCCTCCAACTCTCAGAAACCCTCCTGCCTTTGCTTCCCAAGGGCTGGGATTACAGACCATGTCTGGCTCCTTCTCTTTCTCCATGTTTTCATTCCAACAGGGCTAGCTTGCTTGGTCACTCAGGGCTTCTGGCGATCTACTCTGTCTATGGCTGAGCTTTTTGCTTTTAAAAAGCAGCTGACCTATTGCTGCCAAAGCCTCCATTGTGTAGACATCACTTTTGCCCTTGAACTTCCCCATACTCTGCTAAACCAAATTACCTGGGGGAGAGTTTCCAAGCTCATTACTCTTATGTATGAGACCGAATACCTGAGCTATTTCTGTGGAATGGCATGGCTGTTCTTAGGGTAGGCTGGTGAGGCAGTAGTCGGGTCTTTTGAGCTTGACAGTTTCCACAGGGAACTTTGACCTTCTGACTAAGCGGGGTCAAGGTGACTGGCTCCAGGATGTCTAGCCTGCCAAGGCTGGGGAAGAGCCTTTGTACTATGGATGGGTGCAAAGGGATGTCTCTAACCTGGTTGCACCTGCTTGCAGCAACTTGCCTCTGCAACTTGGAAAGGGTATGCGGTGGCATACACCCTTGCTAATAATATGAGCACTCTAACTCTTCTGGAAGGCACATCTTTTCATTTGTTGTGTTTATTTATTGTGAGTGTGGGCATGTATGCACACATACACACACACACGCACACACACACGACTGGAGGTCAGAGTTGTCTCTCTCCTTCCATATGGGTTGCAGGGATTTACCTCAGGTCGTGGGGGCTGAGAGAAGTTCCTTTGCTCGTTGAACCATTGCACTGGCCTTGAAATATGTTTTGGGGACAACTCTGGAGACCTTAGTTTTCTAAAAATAATTTTACCATTTTTTTTTATTGGGGAACGAGTGAGGAAACTAGAGAGCATCTCTGCCTACTTTTTATATTTCTAAAAAGAATTCTCAAATTCTAGGTTCATAGCAAAATGGAGAGAAAAGTCTATATGATCCTGACTCATTGTCGTCTAGGTTTTCTCCTATAGGCTCAACAGATTTGAATGTGATCTAGGATCCACTCTGAGGTGATTTTGTGATGTGGGGTTGCTCTAGCACAGCCTTGGGAAGGGCTGTCTCTGCTCCCCTGTGCTGCTTTGGTTCTTTCTCTGGAAGTTTTCTGGGCTATTCTGTCCTACTGTTCTGTTGATTCTTCTCTCGGCACTGATCACTGGAGCTTTTGGAGCCAGTGTCAGTCCCGACTCGGGCCTCTCGCACTATTGTGTGAGCTGTTTCCATACAAACTCCAGCCCCGCTTGCTGACATCCACAACATGATGTACTACAGTTCTGAGACTGTGCCATGGATCCAGATGTGAAACATCTTGACAATACTGGGCCTTCCTATCCAGGAACATAAAATATACCTCCATTTATTTAATACCCTGATCGCCCCAAGTTTTTAAATTTTTTCTTTGTGTATATTTTGACATTTTGTTAGATTTACACCTAAGAATTTTATGTTTGGGATTAATGGTCTTGTGATTTTTTACCTTCAAATTCTAAGCGTTCATTGCTGGGTTAATTAGTTTTCTATTGCTTTGACAAACTACCTTTGAAAATAAACTTATAAGAAGGAAACTATCGTTTTCATTCATGGTTTTGGAGGCTTTGCCCACACCAGGACACACAAAAAAAATCTTAAGAAAATCAGAGAAACTGCTGGGCGATGGTGGCGCTCGCCTTTGATCCCAGCACTCGGGAGGCAGAGGCAGGTGGATCTCTGTGAGTTTGAGGCCAGCCTGGTCTACAAGAGCTAGTTCCAGGACAGGCACCAAAGCTACAGAGAAACCCTGTCTTAAAAAACAAACAAACAAACAAACAAAAAAAAACCCCAAAAATAAAAGAAACAAAAAAAAATAAAAGAAAAAAGAAAAAGAAAATCAGAGAAACTGAAATAACTCTGAGTATACTATCTGACCACAGTGCAACAAAGCTCAGAGTCTACCAAGTGAGTCTCTAGTAATTACACAAACAATAGCAGTTAAAACAACACATTGTCGAGTGATTAAGGGGCCAAAAAAAAAGCAGTCTGAATGATGATGAAACGGATGCTTAAAAAAATCCCACACTAGCTCAGAATTGAGAAATAGATATTTATTTAGGGGTAAACTCACAAATCAGAATTCTCTGCTTGAACGGTGGACAGAGATCGAATCCCACAATCCAACAATCCAACTGAGCAGCGGGCAAAAGGGAGGGAAAAAGGGGCGGATGCAAGCTCGGCATCCATGTATACAGTATGAGGCCACGCCCCAGTGGACCCTCTGGGACACTTTACAAGCAGTCTTAGAGGGAAAGCTACAGTTCTAAGAACCTACACTAAGAAATCAGAACAGAAATAAACGACTTGATGCATCTCAAGGATGTGGAAAAACAAGAACAAATCAGCCCCAAATCCAGTAGGTGGAAAAAATAATAAACACCTGAGTAGGAATTAAAGGAAAGAAAATAATATATAGATCAGTAAATATAATAAGTCATATAACTGGACTTAAAGACAGTAATCATATGATCATCTCAATAGGTGCAGAAAAACTCCAACATGCCTTCATGATAAAAGTCCTAGGCAGAGTAGGACTGGAGGGAAATAGCTCAGCAGGATAAAGCCTGTGTACGACAGGCCTGCAGCCAACATCATCCTAAATGGAGAAAAGGTTCACCTGTACCTAAGTGATGGGTGAGCTCGGCATTCATTGGTGTCTTTTAAGCTCTGAGCCACTCCATTTGTTTCCTAAGAGTTTACAGCTCTCTGTATTACCCATCCCTTCTCACATCGCCCACTTAGTCCACTCCAAGTCTTGGCATATTAACCTAGTTACTCTGAATTCCCGGGAGATCTAGTGAGGAATTCCAGAGAAGGGCGGGAGATCTAGTGAGGAATTCCAGAGAAGGGCACATTTGAGTTTAATCTTCAAGGACTAGTAGAGGCTTTCCAGTTGCACTGCTAGGTTTATATGATAAAGAGCAGACAGAATGGCCTTTATGGAAGAGTGACATACTTAGAAAATTCAAAGTTAAATATTATAACGTGAAAAGCAGAGTGTGAAAACGGTCCACATATATTCTTGTACCCCACATGTCAGGTATTTGTAGCCAATAAGAGACAAGGGGAGGGCTTGTTAGATGGCTCAGTGGGTGTGGGGACTTGCTGCCAAGCCTAACCACCTGAGTACTGTCCCCGCACCCGTGTGGTAGGAGAACAGAATACAGCAAATTGTCTTCTGACCTCATGGGTACTGTGGCATCCATGACTCAGCGGTGCATGAGCGTTCACACATCCCCACACACACCAGAGTAAATAATGTGGTCTGGCATGAAAAAATGATACAATATAGGGGATTAAAGGGAAAGGATAGTGGTGAAATGATCAAGGAGACACCGCTCACCTCAGCTTGCACACTCAATGGTGAAATGATCAAGGAGATACCGCACACCTCAACTTGCACACTCAATGGTGAAATGATCAAGGCGATACCGCACACTTCAGCTTGCACACTCAGAGGAGCCAGCATGTTACTGAGGTTATACGCACAAAGATACTCAACTCCAGAGTTTGTAGTCTCAGACTTTCATATAACCGAAGTTTCAAAGAACAAACGTCAATTGAAAAATTTAGGTTTGCATGCAGTTTAAATTTCCCTGGTTTACGAGAACAGGGGCAAACTGACTCTGAGAGCTTGTACTCCTCCATGGTGTCAATTACCAGGGTAAGAATTCCCAGGAAAGAAATTAGGGACCTCTCTGAGAACCCAGATACCTACCCGCCCCCCAAACACAGTCCTTCTTACTGAGGAACACAGTTGCTCCCTGTCGTGTGTAAGGGTTCGCGAGGAAATTTATGGTCAACACTACCTACAAATCGCATTATTCTCTTAACACCGCAGTGAGCTCTCAAGTCCCTTTCGGCTACTAGAAACACTGACCGCGAACCTCCTTATCCCGCTTAGACCTATGTCCTGTCTCCCGTGCCTCTCGAGTCCCAGGCCTGGAGGGCTTCCTCCCTCGCTCGCCTTCGTCCTGACTGACACACTGGAGCACGTGTTGCGGGACTCCCTCCTCGTACTCACCGTATTATTTCTATTTTCGGGTGACACTGGGGTGTGAACTAGGGTCTCCCCACACTCGGCAGGTAGTTCTCTGTCACCGAGCTACACCCTCCGTTTCCCTCCGTGCTGTTTCAGTCTTTTGTTTGGGTACAGCATTCATTAGGTTGCTGGGGCCACTCTTGAACTTACGTGGTAGCCCAGACAAGCCTTGAACTTGTGATCTTTGAGTCAGGCTCCTAAGCCGTTGGGAGTATAGCGTGCACCACCCACCCCACAGCCTGGCTGCTCACCGCCTTGAGACAAAAGTGAGGTGTAGGACTTACTTCCGAAATACCCACTTGAGTGAAAGGCTGGAGGCGTGCACTTGCTGATCTAGGAGAAAGGGGATTTCTAATCTTTTAAAACTTTGCTTAATTATGAGAGGTAAAATGACTTTGAAACCATAATATATTTCCATGTTATTTTGGTCCACCCTTTGATCTGTGCAGTTAGCATCTTCTGATATGTGCTAGTTCATTAATTGGAGGTACATAAATTACTGTTTTACTATTCAGTTATTATTAATATTTATCTTGCTGCTTTTAAATGTTGCCCAACATTTAAAAGCCTGGATCCCTGATCCTTCTGCCTCTACTTCCCAAGTGCTGGGATTGCTATTGTGTGCCCTATGCCCAGCTATCATGTGTGCTCCTGGGAACAATTATATGATGCTCTTCTAGAAGGGAGAAATATTGTTTATTTCTCCTGTGCTATTGCTACCACACCAACTATATAAAGAGACACGGAAAATGACCGCTGGTTCATCAAAGTGACTGAAATCATTAATAGCATGGTCTTCCTTTCTTCAAGTCTTAGTTTCTTTTTGTTATATACACACATAATTTTGCAAGAAATCAAAAGTTTCAACCTTTTTCCCATGTTGATACAAATTAAATATATGTGTTTTTTTTTAACTTTTCTATATTTCCTCCGGATTTTTTAAAGTCTCTGAAAGGTGTTTCATCTAAGGAAGATGGAACTGGTAAAATCTGTAGTTCATACCCACATATGCGTGTGAAGAGGGCAGGGCAGGGCAGGGGCTGCTGATTTTTACTGTGTCGGAGCATCTCCATCAGCCACAGTTCCCAGAAGCGCTTTCAGCTTGATTAACTGTTGCAGTGGAACTTCAGGCGCAAGGTGAGAGGGCCGTTACTCTCATTTGGTTTCTTGTTGCTTTTAGTTGGATGAGGAACTGTCTGCTCAGAGCTCTTCAGGGTGGATTCTGCAGGCTGAAGACTGTTACCACTGATAGCGTTGGCATCCGTTTTAGGACGTGAGGGAATAGTCTCCCGTTTGCGGCCATATCTGTTCATCATATATTCAGTGTGTCTGGCCCAGAGTTCAGAGTGCTTTTTCCTCTTCTGAAGACGACAGAGGGATGAAAAACATTCTAGTGATCTCTGGGGCACAGGCTGGAGCCATTCTGGGGCATCTGTCACAAGATTCCTTCCGGTTTTCAAAGCGAGCTTTCTGCTTGGTATCCAAGGTAGGCTGTATCTTCTTGTATTTATGCAAGCAGTTGGAACGAGTCTAGAAAAGAAAGGAAGCGGATGAGTTTTTGCCTAGTGTGCACCTACTTTGTGCTCCTAGGTATACTGTCATGATGTAGATTGTATATTTTCCCTTGGGTGAGCTCAATGACCCTTAAGACTTTATCATCTTTATGAAGGTGAGTTAAATCCTCATTTCTGGTTCTAAATGTTTAGCTCTACTCCAATCCTCTTCTAGATGTCCAGAGGGTGTGGTTATCTGGTACCTTCTTCAGGACTCACTGACTTCGTAAACTGGTCTATACTTTGCCATTAAAATGTAGTTTGTTCCATAAAACTAGGTGCATTATACACGGTATAAGATTTTTTAGATTAACTTGTAAGAAATCAGTGAGTTTGAGAGACAGAAGTTTCCTTCAAGAGAGGAAGGTTTTTATTTTATTTTTTTTTCTACATACTAATTCCAGTACCCCCTTCCTCCCCTTCTGATCCTCCCACCTTCCCATCATCCCACTCCCATCTGATCCTCAGAGAGGGCAAGAACTCCCAAGGGGAGTCAATAAATTCTGTCTCATAATCGCGCTGAGGCAAGATCAAGGCTCCCCCCCCCCCCCCCCCCCCCCCCCCCCCCCGTGTCTAGGCTGAGCAAGGTTTCTCTTCATAGGAAATGGGCTCCAAAAAGTCAGATCATTCACCAGGGATTGCTCCTGGCCCCACCGCCAGTAGTCAGATCATTCACCAGGGATTGCTCCTGGCCCCGCTGCTAGTAGCCCCACAAACTGCCCAAGCCACCCACCGTCACCTGCTTTCAGGAGGGCTAGACAGGTCCTGTGCAGGTTTCCTGGTTGTCTGTCTACAGTCAGTGAGCTCCCGCTAGCTCGGGTCAGCTGTTTCTGTGGGTTTCCCCGTCATGGTCTTAGTCTTGACCCCTTTGTTCATGTTAACACTCCTCCCTCTCTTCGAAAGGACTCAGGAGCTCTGTCCAGCGGTTAGATCCACAACTCATTCTATTTTTCTTTAGAATTCTATTTAACTTGGAATGTTAGCTATATTTTCATTACACTTTTAAGTTATGCAGTAATTGTAGCATTATTTGCACTTGGAAGAAGACAGACGGATTGCACGTACACTTCATCTGCTCCCTCTAGATGTGATATTTTCTAAAGTCACAGAGAACACACTGGTGTGGAGAAGACACAGAACCACGCCCTCGTATTGTTTCTCCGGTGCCCACTTCTCTCCTGTCTTGACTTCTCCTTAAACTCCTGGAAAACATTAGCTTGTCGTCCAAATTATGCCATTTTGTTATTTCAAGAATGCTATGAAAATGTGACCACACAGTGTGAAACCTTTTGGAATTAATTCTTCTGCCCGCCCAGTATAATTCTTTGAAATTCATCATTGTTCTGTTTCTCCTCTGCTCATTTCTGTCCATTTTTTGAGTAGTAGTCAGGAGCTATACTACAGTTGAATGATTTATGCACCGAAGGACCTGTGGGTCTTTTCCAGTTTATGGGTGTTGCGAATGAAGCTGAATAAACATTTGTGCGCAGGATTTTGTGAGAACCTGTCTTCTTTTCACTGGGACTAAATTCCAGGAAAGCAGTTGCTAGTTATATGGCTGCTATGTATTTATTTTTGAAAGAGACTTTTGTCTGGGGTGACCCTGAGCTTCCAGTCCTCCTGACTCTTCTCTCGCCAGGTGCTAGGACTACAGGTGTGTGCTATCAGGCAGCTAGGAGAGGCTTAGTTAAAAAGCTATCAGGTTTTTAAAGAGTAATTGCCCCAGTTTATGTTCCCAGCAGTGACATACAGATAACCCAGTGTCTACATCCTCACTGGCATATGGTACTCTTTCATGTTTTGTTTAGCCGTCCTGACATGTGTGCAGCAGTAGCTTACTGTGGTAACTTGCATGGCTGATGCTAATACTTCTTGTGCTTGGGTGCCACCTGTGTATGGCTTAGTCAAATGCCTATCTATGTCTTTTGCCCATTTTCTAGTGACTTTTTTTCCTGAAGATTTCTTTTGAATTATATGTATGCCTGTGTGTTTGTGTAGGAAGATGGGCACGTGAGTACAGGTGCCTGTGGGGGCCAGAAGAGGGCGACAGATTCCCCCGGAACTGGAATCACAGGTGACTGTAAGCTGCCCAATGTGGGTGCTGGGGACAAACAGGCTGTTTGCAAGAGCAAAGAGCAATTCATGCTGAGTTATCCCTTTGGCCTGAAATGTTTTAATGCTTTTCTGAGTGTTGAATTTGGGGTTTTTCTTACTTACCTTGCTCTCCCAAGTGTTGGGATTACAGGCATGCATTACCAAGTCTGGTTTATTTTTATCCAGGCCTTTGCAAAGTAACATTTTAAATCCAACTAATTTTTTCTCTTTTATGAATCATAGTTTGGTATTTATTCTAAAAATCTTAGCCTTAGACCTGAGGATTTTCTATGGTTTCCTAAAAGTTTTGTAGTTTTATGTTGTGTATTGGAGTCCATGCTCCATTTTGAATTAGTCTATGTATAAGTGATGGATTTACGCGGTTTTGTGTTTTTAAAGGCAGTTCGGCTTATTTTTGTGAATCAGCTCAGTTCCACAGATGTGTCTTCTCATCCTCCAATACTATATTGTATTGCTGTCGCTATATAAAAGTTCTTGAAATCAAAAGGCCAGTTCCTTTTGCCAAATCGTTTTTGATGTTCAGTGGTTTTGTATACAAATTTGAGATTAGCCTTAACTATGTTTATAACAATTCTGCTGAGACCTTGGTGGGAACCGTGTTGAATCTGTGAATCCGTGGGAGAGCTGACATCTTGAGGTTTCCAATCCACAAACATGTTTATATTTTCCATTCATTTACACTCGGTTTTCAACATTTTTGGTGTTTTCAGCTCCAAGATCTGTACATATTTTGTAGAGTTACAGATATGCACTTCATGTTTTGAGAAGCTGAAAATGGTTTTGTATATGTAAATTTGGAGAGCACATGTCTCTTTCTTATAGGTAGAAATAGAACTATGTTCATATGGTTGTTGTATTCTGAGGCCTAGAAAGACCAGCTGGCTTTTCAAGAAGTTTAAAAACAAGTTCCTCGAGACACTCTACATAGAGAACACCACTTTCACAACCAGGGGCCATGTTTTTCCTTTCTTCCTGTGGGTATGCTTTTTCTTTTCTCTGGCCCCGCGCTGTGGCACAGAGGTGACTGAGAGGAGAGGGAAGCGTGGGCAGAGTAGCTGCCATTAGGTTGCACGAGGCCCTTCATTGCTTCTCTTCTGACAGTTGGGTTTCTTTGTCAATATTTGTCTATGCTAATTAATAGTGAACTGTGGGTTTTCTTCTTTATCTTGCAAATATAGAGGTTACATTGCCTTTTAAGAACATTGAGTCATTCTTGAATTTCTGAAATAAGATTTACTGCCAAGTGGTAAATCATATTTTTTTTAAAAAAAGTTAGCACTGAATTTTATTTGCTAATAGAATTAATAGGACAGAATTTTTTGATTTTCCATTTTTGTTTTCTCTTTGGCTGATTCTAGTCTTATGCCAATAGTAGCTTCATAAAATGAACTAGAGACTATTTTCTCGCCTTCTGTAAGACACTGTATAGAGCTAGTGTTAATTAGTCTTTACATGTTTTGTGAAATTTTGCTGTGAAACCATGGGGCTCATGAGATTCCTTTGGGGTGGTTAAAATTACAAATTCAGTTTCCTTCCTTACATACCTACGTAATGTAACAACGATTAAAGGCAGTCCTGAATCTACAAGGGAGTGGGATGGGACACGGGTGGAGTTGAACATGAGAGGGCTGGGAATGATATAAATGCATGAAGAAAAAGCCCTCAGAAATAAAACCAGCTCTAGGGGGCATGAAGACATTCTAGTCCAGAGTGTCGTTCTGTGTGTGTGCACACTCCGAAGATATGATCTTCTGTAACGTATTCAATCTGCACTTTATGTGGTTTTCTTTGTGTGTGTTCTTGTGCATGTGTGTATACGAGTGCACATGCGTGTAGACACCATAGGAGAACTTCAAGTGTCATCCCTCACATACTATACACCCCACCGTCATGTTCACAGTGTGTTTGGTCTGGAGTTTGCCATGGATGGTAGATGGTCAGTGAGCCCTAGTGGTCCACCTGTCTCTGCCTTCTGGGTGCTGGAACATGGGTGTGGGAACAAAACCCAGGTCATTGTGCTTGCAAGGCAAGGTCTTTGCCAGCTGAGCTACCTAGTTTTAGTGTTTCTTACTGTTTCACTGCCATTTTGCAAGATCTGCAAGGTCTTTAGTGACATCTAATTTCTTTCCTCATATTCATAATTTCTCATTTCTTTGTCAGTCTTGTTAGGGGGTTGTCAATTTTATTGCTCTTTTCAAAAGACAAATTATTTTACTGAATCTTTTTCTGTCAATTTTCTGCTCAAATTTTATTAGTTTTTTCTTCATTTATAGGTTATTTTCTAAGTTTTTAGTTTTTTTNGGCTTTTGGAGCCTGTCCTGGAACTAACTCTTGTAGACCAGGCTGACTTCAAACTCACAGAGATCCGCCTGCCTCTGCCTCCCGAGTACTGGGATTAAAGGCGTGCGCCACCACCGCCTGGCTCTAAGATTTTAAATTACCTTTACTAACGTGTGTGTGTGTGTGTGTGTGTGTGTGTGTGTGTGTGTGTGCATGCACACATGCAGGCTGGAGACAACTCGTAGGAGTCAGTTCTCCCTGTTCATCATGTGCCAGCCTCCCACTCTGACCGTCTCACTGGGCCTTCTCTTTTATCCACATGTGTTTAACTCTATAAATTTCCACCAATTAGCTATATTGCAGTTTCATTTTCAAGAATTTAATATAATAGCTTTATTTCCTTTTAGTTTACCACTAACTCACAAATCATTCAGAAGTGTGTTGCTTAGTGTTTTTTTTAAAGTATTTGTGTTTTTTCTTTTATTGTTTTGTTATTTCTAGTTTAATTCTACTGTGACCAGAGAATTGCACTTTGTATTGTCTATATTGCTTAAATGTGTTGAGTTTTGTCTTAAGACCTAT